GGGAGGGCTAGCCTCCCACTAGTTCGAATTAAGGGGCTACACACCCCTTAATTCGAACTAGCTAGTTCAAACTAGGCTTAATCCTCGTAAAATGAGGTTTTCCTAGTTCGAACTAAGCGCTCCGCTAGTTCGATTTAAATTCGAACTAGTGGAGCGCTAGTGTAGCGCCTATTAAAGTTAATTCGAACTAACGTCTGTTAGTTCGAATTAACTTTGTAGTGTAGACATACCCTTAGAGAAGAGGTTTAAGTATCCCTGACAAAATTACTGTTCTTCAAATCTTTGTCCAGGTGGATCCTGCTCATGAAGTATATGTCTCACATGCATGAATGCACCATAAGTAGGATCCACATGGACTAAACATCTGGAAAAACACAGTTTTGTCAAATAAGTAGGCATTTTTTCTCACTTAAAATGTGTGTTTGGTATATTCGTGATATCATTATAAGCATTCTCTCCCTGTTTGATTTGCACTCAGTTCTAGCTGCAGCACCATCCAGTGGCAGTGAATCCTACAAGCTGATCACACTGTGTGAAAAAGTATTTATTTGTATTGGTTTTGAATCTCCCACCTTTCACTCTCACCAAATGTCCCCTTGTCCCTCTGTTAGGAGACAAAAAGAACAGAAACTCCTGTTCTTCCTTTTCTCAACCAGCCATTATAATAGATTTTTCTCATCTTTATCTCCTTTCTACCATAAGGATTGGGGAGGAGTTGCTTTCTTTAAAAATAGTTTGGTGATACTTTAAAGTGATTTTAACTGGGTTAAAATTCTGTCTTGTTAATTTTTGCTCTCTAGTGGAGATAAAAGAGAGAGTACATGTGTACTGAATGGAATAAAGCTCCTTACTGACCGGAGACACTATATAAGGTAAGAGAGGACTTGGTAACAGCCTGTAAATACCAACCTGGGGAGATAAATTCTGATAACAGATCTCTCAGACAAAGGCAGGACAAGTTATTCTTCGACTGCTTATTCATGTTGATTTCAATTAATGTGCATGTGCCATGTGCCGGCTATTTCCCCGTCTTCATCAGCAACCTCCAGCACAAGGCCAAGCAAGCCACCAAGCTCTTCAAGGGAGACCCCAAGGGAATTTGTCAGGAGGGGTCGGCCTCCAGGTACTGGCCCCTGGGCAGCGGGGGCGGGGCAAGGCGGGAATGCCCAGGGCTGTGGGTCAGGATTGAGGGGCACTGGCAGGGCTGTGGGTCAGGAGTGAGGGACACTGGCAGGGCTGGGCTGGGCTGGGCTGGCTGTAGGGCTGTGGGTCAGGAGTGAGGGGCACCAGCAGCTGCGGGGGGCAGGGCTGGGCTGGCTGTGGGAGCTGTGGGTCTGCCCTTACCTCCCTCCCCCCAGAATAGTACCTCCCCCTTGCTGTGGGGGCTCTGAGTCACATTCTTTTAACATTACCAGTATCAGTGGCTTCTGGTGAGTGCAGTTTCTCAAAACTGAAATTACTAAAAAATTATTTGAGGTCCACCATGTCTCAAAATCATTTGTCAGGACTCGCATTAATTTCAATTGAAAGTACCATTACAAAAAATTTAGATTTTACTGAATTATTAAAAGGCTGTGCAAGTATAAAAACCAGAAAAATTCAGTTCATGTAAATTATTTTAATTTATGAGAAACTGGGCGCACCGGAAGACACGAACGTTTTTCATTACAGTGTATAGTTGAACCCAAATTGTTTGTAATTGTGGTTTTGTTAAAATTAAATGAGTATACTAGTAGGAAATTGTTTTATTTCACTAACTACAAATTTTTTGTTTTCGTTTTTAAAAAAAATTTAAACAGTCAGAAAAAAACAAATAAAAACCCTCATTGCAAAGTGTAAACGTGTAAAAGCCAACAAAAATGGCGGGAGGGGGGGGGGGAGCCAAAAAATTTTTTGCTTGGGGCAGCAAAAACCTAGAGCCGGCCCTGGCTGGGGAGCATGCTTGGGGGACCTGCAGACGTAGGATCTGTGATCACAGGATGAAATACTTCTCCACATCAGCAGCTCATTTGACCTGTCAGTCCTTTCATGCAACTATGCAAGGTCACAATGTGACGGTTCTGATTGACAATACCACTGCCATGTTCTATATCAACAAGTAAGATGGAAGCTGCTGAGAGGCTCTTATTATGGACTTCTGTATAGCCAGGTCCATCCAGCTTCAGGTACCCTATCTCCAGGGAGCGTGGAATGAGCTAGCAGATCATCTCCGCAGAGCATTTCACAATCACACATGTTCCATCTGCCCGGATGTTCTGCATTCCATCTTCTGCAGGTGGGGGTTTCCCCAGGTTGACCTGTTTGCCACCAAGGACAACAGGAAGTGCCACACATTCTGCTTGTTTCAGAATCACAGTCTGGGCTTCATCTCAGAGGTGTTCATGCGCCTGTGGGGGGGATCGCCTCATGTATACTTTTCCCCTGATCCCGCTTGTCCACAGAGTGCATCTCAAAATCTGCAGAGATGGCACGGGTGATCTTATAGCCCTGGTGTGGCCTCATCAGCATTGGTATACTACAATCTTAGAATTGTCAGTGGACACCCCAATATAGCTTCCTCTTTACCCAGACCTGACTATTTAGGGCTATGGTCACCTTGCATCTGGACCTTCAGCCCCTCCATCTCTTGCATCTGGACCTTCAGTCCCTCCATCTCCGGGCTTTGAAGCTTCATTGTTAAATCCCTTGGAGTGCCAGTGCACACAGCTGGTGTGGGAGGTGCTTCTTGGCAACAGAAAACCATCCACCAGCGCCACTTAGCAAGGTAAGGTGGAAAGGTTCTCATGGTGATGTGAACATCATCAAATGGCTCCATCCCTGACACTCATTCCTATTATCCTATTATTTGCTTCACCCGAACAAGCCAGGATTGGCATGATCATCCATTAGGGATCACCTATTGGCAATTGCAGCATTCCAGGGGAATGCTGGGTCGATTGGTATTCGCCAGCCCCATGGTACTGCACTTTCTCAAAGGAATGGGAAGGTTCTATCTGCATTCATCACCATCCTTATTGACCTGGGATCTCAACCTGGTCCTCTCAAGATTTATGGGCCCACCCTCCAAGCCCCTGGCCATTTGCTTCCTCCTCTGCCTGTCATGGAAGGTGGCATTTCTCGTGGCCATCATGTCAGCCAAAAGGGTTTTAGAGTTGAAAACTCTAATGTCTGAGCCCCCATACGCTGTCTTCCACAAAGACAAGGTGCAGCTCAGACCACATTTGTCCTTCCTGTGCAAAGTAGTGTCCCAATTTCACCTGGGACAAGATATCTTTCTGGCAGTCTTCTATTTGAATCTGCATACAAATGTGCACCAGCAGAAGCTGCATTCTCTAGATGTCCAGAGATCACTGACCTACACTGAGCACACAAGATCATTCTGGATCACAGACTGTATCTTTACCTGTTATGAGTTAGCCAAGAAATTGTCCCTTTGGTTCCTTCTTTCTGGCTTCTCTGGCAGAGGGGAAAGATAGTGGGTATTGGAATGGATGTAAATAATGTATCATGAACTACAACAGTTATGAGGTGAATCATCAGCTTCTTTGAGTGTTTGTTCAGGTTGATTCCAATCAGGTAACTCGCAAGCTCTTCCATCAGAGGTAGGGTCAGAGTTAAGAAATCACTGATTGGAGGACTGCTCTACCAACAGCTGTGTCACTTCTGGCCTGCTGGTCGATGGCATAATGAGCAGTAAATGTGTGTGCCAAGAACCAGGTTGCTGCTCTGCAGATCTCCTGGATTGGTGCTTGGGCAAGGAAAGCAGTCAAAGAGGTGTAAGCCCTTTTTGAGTGGGTTATGATCATTGAGGGTATGTCTACACTACCACCCTAGTTCGAACTAGGGTGGTAGTGTAGACATACCCTCAATGATCATAACCCACTCAAAAAGGGCTTACACCTCTTTGACTGCTTTCCTTGCCCAAGCACCAATCCAGGAGATCTGCAGAGCAGCAACCTGGTTCTTGGCACACACATTTACTGCTCATTATGCCATCGACCAGCAGGCCAGAAGTGACACAGCTGTTGGTAGAGCAGTCCTCCAATCAGTGATTTCTTAACTCTGACCCTACCTCTGATGGAAGAGCTTGCGAGTTACCTGATTGGAATCAACCTGAACAAACACTCAAAGAAGCTGATGATTCACCTCATAACTGTTGTAGTTCATGATACATTATTTACATCCATTCCAATACCCACTATCTTTCCCCTCTGCCAGAGAAGCCAGAAAGAAGGAACCAAAGGGACAATTGGGTCGGCAGGGTCTTGAATTAAGCGCCATGAAGGCACCACTCCAGGGGCTCCACAACTTATGCAACAGGCGCTACTAGGGGGAAATGTTTCTAATTCTGTGCATGCTCCATGTGCACACCTGATTGGAATGTACGTGAACACATCTCAAAGTACTACTGTTATAAGAAGGTGAGTAGCCATCTTTTCCTGTGGCTGAAAGCTGAATCTGGATACATTCAGACTAGAAATGAGGTTCACATTTTTAACAGAGGGGGGATTAACCATTGGGCAACTGCCCTAAGGACAGAATGGATTCTTTATCAAGACTGGACATTTTTTTAATGTCCCACTGTAGCTCAAATCTGGGCTGGATGCAGAAATCAGTGGGTGGATTTCTGTGATCTAGGACATGCAGGAGGTTGACTGCACTGTCAGAACAGGCCCTTCTGGCCTTCAAAACTATGAGTCTTTCAAATAGTGCAAGTGCTGTGTAAAGCCGATTGAAATACTAGCTATTGGCTGGCCCCTGTCTCAATCTTGATTCGGGGTTCTTGGCATCTCCATAATATCAATTAGTTAATTATAGTATCTTTAGTGTCGTCATCCTACCAATTTTACATTTGTTCAGAGAGTCTTCCTGGAAAAACAGGTTAGATAGTTATTATTACGGTAGCACTTAGAGGTTCCACTGAGAGCGGGGGCCCATCATCCTGTGCTGCACAGACTCCTAACAAGATTGGGGCTCCCATCATGCAGTGCTGCTCAGATCATGAATGTGATCAGGGCTACTCTGACACTGTGCATGCACATAGTATGAGAGAGTCCCTACCCAATAGAGCTCACAGTGTGTGAGGAGAAGCAGAGGTCAGAGATGAAAAGGGACTTGGCCTAGGAAACACAGCAGGTCAGTGCCTGAGCTAAAAACAGAACTGGGGTGTCCCGAGTCTCAGTTTAGTGCCCTCACCACTAGACTGCGCTGCCTCAGACAAGACCTGGATTTCTAATGTACATACACACACAATTGTTCCTGCTGTATTTAGGACCCCTCTCTGATGTGCATTTGTACAGCACTTGGTGCAGTGATGTCCTGATTCATGATGGGGATCTCTTAGATGCTATGGGAATACAAATTAATTATAATAAATGATACATTAGAGAGAAGCAAAGCCTCCAGAACGGGAACAAAGCTGAGTTCTTTTCCATTGGCCTCTGGGTGCTGTGGCAGGGTCAGACCCCTGCTCTGTCCACAACCCCACAGTCTCACTTGCCCTTTCCAGCATTTTGGGGTTCTGCCCCTTGGCTAAACAGGTATTGGGGCTGAAACCTTGGTCAGCCTGGCCTGAATAACCAGTCCTCCTCAGTCACTGGCTGGGCTCTCAGGCCACATGGGGAAAGGAGCCCAAACACTGCCTGTCAGCCCCTTGCCTTCCCTGTCTATTCTGGCAGTGCTGACATTCTGTTTTTCAGCTTCTTTATCTCTTTCCTTATCAGTGCTCGCTGCTTCCTCCAAACTCCTCTTCCATTCTCCTCTGCCCACCCCCACAAGGAAGTTTTTTAAAGAGGTCCCCTGGCAGCCTGAAGTCAGCTCACCTGGACCTTAACTGATTTATAGCAGCCCTGTCTCAGTTGCCCAGGTCAAC